GCGTGGCAGCAGCGACCGGACCCCTTGGAAGCCAACTGCTCGCATCTCGTGTGATTCAGCCACGAGAATTTCGACGGCATTGCGCTGGTCGTATATTGATATTTATTTAGGCGGTGAGCATGCCATTCTGACAGCTATTACTGCAGTTATTTTTTGGACATTCCCCCCACTATACATCTGACCGGCTCGGTCAGCCGCTGTGGCCGGGGAGTTGGGAGTAGAGAGTAAGGTCGACGAATCGGTGCATCTTCTTCACTATAAAAATCAAACACGTCTGAAGCCACCATTCTGCGCTAAAAACCGTTGCTTGGAAAGTTTCTACGTAGTGTGAGGACTCAAACTTCGCAGTCAGCCCAGAGTGTGCTTGTTTGGAATGGCGGACTGGCAGACGGAATGTCAGGCTACAGTAACTCCTTTTCTATCTGGCCTTTATGGCACTCCCATTCCGTTCATTCGGGCGGGGCTTGGCCCCACGCCTAGGGGCGGTTCCGGCCGCGCTAGCTACCTACGGCCTCTCCAAGCTCCGGTCTTCCGGACTCTGTCATGACACCGGGAGGGTTGAGTGCGAAAGATGCGTCGAAAGTCCACTATCATCATAAACCTTTTCATGCGCGTGTCGTCATCCATGCTCTCATCACACTGTGGAGCAAACTATGGACATTGTTGAATTGCATGGTGGAGCTCTCAAGTTCTTGGCAATTTTGGACAAACTATTTTAGATTGCACATGAAGTTTGATAGTTTGATCTTCGCTGCCGACGATGTCCACCGTGTGCTCAAGGGCAAAGTGCAGCAGACACGGCGACTTGTGCATGCTTCAGTTTATAGTGAATATGCACTTGCGCAGCATCTACCGCACCCTCTCATTCTTGCCCATGGGAATTCAAGGCAGAGTTAATATGGCCGGAGCTATGGGACACAGACTGGTGGCGCGGTTGAGCCTGCACCTTGGCGTTTCACTCAACACCCTTGGTCCACACAGTAAAGGTCCGAGGTCTCAACCAACAACGAAAGCGCGACTGACACGAACGGAGCCGCATCTAGGCGTGCTGTCCATCTTGCTCGGACGCCACGGAGTGGGAGTCTCATAAATGTCGCATTAAGAATGAACCACTGCAGCCTGAC